TTTCTTTCTTCTGTTAATTGTGGTATTAGTGCTTTCCTCTTTTCTAAAATATCTTTAGAGTAGTCTTCTGTGAATGTTATTTCCTTCGACTTCTTCTTATTCCTTAATATCTCGTTTTTTTTCAATCCACTAACAAAGGATAAGAGTGTCGGCCTAGGTTTGTTACCTTTGATTTCTTTCCCTATACGATAAATCTTGTTTATTTCACAATCTTGAATATTTATATTTAATGTTTTCAAAAATACTTCCTTAGTATTTTTAAGCAGTTGCTCTGTAGTCTTTTCTCCCTCTTTCAGCCCGTGGACTATTATATTGTTGTTTTTTTTTTCTCTCTCTAAAGTTTCTATCTTTTTTTCCAAAAGCTCAACTTTAATTCTTAATTTTTTGTTTTCTTCTATCACAGGTTCTAATTTTTCACCAATTTTTTCCATAATAGTACTTGTTATAGAATCTGATTGGTTCTTCATTTCAGTTTTAATTTTTTCGAAGAATAGTTCAAATTGTTCATCCATATTTGCGTGGAATGGAACGTATTATTTAAGGTTATTTTAGTTTATAGCCTTGGCAGCACAGAACTGACGTTGATAGTTGCGTACGAGGTGACTTTGACAGGCTCTCAGTAGTTTTACGTTAGTGTGTGTGCTTTCTGGTTATAACAATATTCTAACCTCCAAATACTGTTGGTTTGTTTTCGTCCGTGTTTTTGTCAAATCCAATAGTTGTGTGGCGGTGACTAATTTCAACACTTCGTGGCACCTTCGTACTCACATTTAATAGTAATTTTTAACGAACCTTGCCTTGTATCTATTTATTTGTGCGATTATTTTCGGAGCGACAATACAATGACATGTATGATACGAGTACCGGAACCGGAATCGGAATTTTAAACGAAAATCAAGTTATCGTGCTGTAGAAGTCTCGTGTTACGAGGGTCTTGGGAAAATTTACTTTTCGCTTTATAGCGGAACCGTGTTGTAAAAATACCGTGTTATAGGAAGATTACCTGTATGGGCTTAATATAATTCATATTATGTAAATATCTCACGTAATAGGTGAGTAAGTCCCTTTATCTCTTTCAAAACTTTCGATTACCCGAACAAATCGCGATGTGGGGTTGTCGTTAGATGTTTACCGTACAGTGTAACTGGCGATATCTTTCATTTTCTATTGGGCTTGTCATATTTAGTCTAATATTAATCTATACTAATATATAAATCTACAGTTGTTTTTACGGATTGTTCGTTATAACTACTGAACCATGCATCCGATTGACTTGAAACTTGGTATCCATGTAAAAAATACATGTACTTAATGGATAGGTTAATATTTATATGAGTGTTGGACTCCCTACACCAGTTGCGGGGGCGTTAATGACGAGAATCTTTGTGGGGGTGTGAAATAATAATGTTAATTTTAAATGCCCAGCGAAGCGGACGGGTACAGCTATTAAATAATAAGTTCTTGACTTGCGTCGTACCAATTTCCAAACGGGGTCGCAAGTTTGCCCTCTAACACCGGAGAAAGGCTCGGAGAAAACATGATTACAGCGAACGGCACGCGATCCTTCATCATCAAAGAAAATACCTATCTCATTAAAGTAATTATTTTGGACGATCCTATCCTCAACGCAACTGGAGTGAGCACAAGCTCATTGATTCCAAAAAACTTGCTGAGCGATAATGAGATGGTTAAAATCGTAATTGCTAAAATCCTAATAGTAAAGAATTAGCTAGTGAGCTTAAGACGTCGAACTATTAATACAAACGGACTTGACTATATCCCGGTTAAAATCTTCTGGAAGATATTTGTGACTGGAAGATTTTTTAAAAGTTCATACGTTCCTAACACTTGCATAGATAATAATCCTAAGGCGCATTGGTATTACTACGGTCTCATTTCGGTGTCAGCCCCGTCAGCGAGATGTTGGAATAGCCTCTTAGGTTATTAGCGAATAGGCAGGAGGGAGACATCCCTTAACGTGAGGGGCAGCGCGTGTCTGTGGGCCAGAACTCAACATGTGAACCAAAGCGCTTTAGCCCGTTAAGGTTTATAAAAACCTCAGCTTAAAGATCTGAGGCCTAACCGAGAGAGTAGGTACCCATACTATCTGGAGCCACTGCGTTCATCCACAGTGCGCTTCCAGAGATCTTTTTTACCACGTACCATCCGGCTATGGAATGAGCTCCCCTCCACGGCGTTTCCCGAGCGCTATGACATGACCTTCTTCAAACGAGGCTTGTAGAGAGTACTTAACGGTAGACAGCGGCTTGGCTCTGCCCCTGGCATTGCTGAAGTCCATGGGCGACAGTAACCACTTACCATCAGGTGAGCCGTATGCTCGTCTGCCTACACAGGCAATAAAAAAAGGTAAGCTCACGGGGCTCTAACCTGCCGTATAAGCTAATACTAGCCCTGATAAGAGCAGTGCAGAATCTACCACCGGATCAGAAACACAGCCCACTGAGAAGATCCGGCGAGAAACTCAGTAGGTTAAATAAGCTTGAAACTGTTCTAAGCTAATTAATTGTCTCGTCATTTAACATCACACAATTAGTAACAAGTGCTATTCAGATCATAACATCTCATCCTTTCTCTGCTTTTAATACAAGCTCTTTTTATAATTACATATTCATTCAAACTGTCAGTGTTTAAGAGAATTAAAGGTGGGTTTCACAGCAAATAAGCTATACTTTTCGTTCACTTGCGCTATTTGGACTGACAGTAACAATTTTTACTAGTGCTCCCGCAGTAGACGAAATTCGACTATAATTAATTGAATAATAAGTTTGAACATATTTTTTTTTATTTTTTTTATTGCTTAGATGGGCGGACGAGCTCACAGCCCACCTGGTATTAAGTAGTTACTGGAGCCCATAGACATCCACAACGTAAATGCGCCACCCACCTTGAGATATAAGTTCTAAGGTCTCAAGTATAGTTACAACGGCTGCCCCACCCTTCAAACCGAAACGCATTACTGCTTCACGGCAGAAATAGGCAGGGTGGTGGCACCCACCCGCGCGGACTCACAAGAGGTCCTACCACCAGTTATAAATTACCAGAATTAGTATTATGGTCCTATTGGTACAGATATCTCGTACTCGTAATATTAAAGATAAACAATACTAACCTATTCTCAATTTGACTACAGATTTTAAGCAATAACAAAAGTTTGACAAAAAACAAAGAGTATATGTGTGTGTGTGTCAAATACATGGTATGTAGTGTGTGTAATGTTTTATTTATTGATTTATTGTATCTTTTATGCATTATTTTAAAAAAATATTAGCATAGTGCACTTCTTCTCTATATTCTCTATAAGTGTGGAAAATTTCATACTCCTCCGTCCGCGCAATTTTTGTAAAAAGGGATACAAACTTTTTGCTTCACGTATTAATATATAGATTTAATAGTACTAGAGGGGAATGATGAGTTCCCGTTCTATCTAGTCGTAAGTGATCAACGAATGCCACTTTTTGTGACCTGAGATCCCACCTTTCAAAGTTCAAGTTTTACTGTGGTGGTAGGACTACTTGTGACTCCGCACGGGCAGGTACCACCACCCTGCCTATTTCTGTCGTGAAGCAGTAATGTATTTCGGTTTGAAAGGTGGGGCAGCCGTTGTAACTATACTGAGACCTTAGAACTTATATCTCAAGGTGGGTGGCGCATTTACGTTGTACCTAAATGTCTATAGGCTCCAGTAACCACTTAACACCAGGTGAGCTGTGAGCTTATACACCCATCTAAGCAAAAGCTGCCCCACCCTTCAAGCCCAAACGCATTATTGCTTCACGGCAGAAATAGGCGGGGTGGTGGTACCTACCCGTGCGGACTCACATGAACTCCTACCACCAGTAAATAACTGTACTAAATACTTTCTGTTTAAAACACAAGAGTAATAATTGTATTTGTGGTACAGCTGGTTGGGAAAGCTGTCTCGCTATGAATATGGTAAATCAGCCTCTCACTTGGCGCTTGTTTGATACTACGACACACGAGCTTGGTTTTGGTCAAAGACCTTTTTCCTGGAGGGTTCGAATTATGACGGCATATGAAGTCATCGTGGCCCAAAGGATAAGACGTCCGGTGCATTCGTATGCAGCGATGTACCAATGTTCGAATCCCGCAGGCGGGTACAAATTTTTCTAATGAAATACGTTTTTAACAAATGTTCACGATTGACTTCCACGGTGAAGGAATAACATCATATAAAAATCAAACCCGCAAAATTATAATTTACGTAATTACTGACGGTAGGACCTCTTGTGAGTCCGCACGGGTAGGTGCCACCGCCAGTCACCGTCCTGCCTATTTCTGCCAAGCAGTAATGCGTTTCGGTTTGAAGGGTAGAGCACCGTTGTAACTATACTGAGACTTTAGAACTTATATCTCAAGGTGGGTGGTGCATTTACGTTGTAGATGTCTATGGGCTCCAGTAACCACTTAACACCAGTTAAGAATCATATTTGGAGTAAAAAATTAACACGACAACGAATTACAGAAAAACTAACTTTACAGGAACTTCGAACTTGAACTCTGTGGCACAGGTTTAAGGTTATTAACCACTACAAGGCATATTACGCTTCTAACCTAGCCTACTGGCATCTATTGATAGCCGTAAAAAACACAAATTGCGGTCAGTGACCTTCACCTTGACCAAGTGGAAAAAACAAAGATTTTTTGAAGTGAAACTTCCTTATCGGCGTTGGAAAAAAATTTACCGTCACATTTTTCGGTTACGCGTCACTTTTTTCCGTTACGCGCCATCTGTTTTGTATTCATGTCTATGATAATAAAATCCTTTTGTTTAAACTTTATCTAATTTAACTTTTTTGTATTCATGTCTATGATAATAAAATCCTTTTGTTTAAACTTTATCTAATTTAACTTTTTTGTATTCATGTCTATGATAATAAAATCCTTTTGTTTAAACTTTATCTAATTTAACTTTATTTAACCAATTTCTAGAAAGTTGCATGTAGATCATTTTTCGAAAAATAAGGCCATAAACAAGTTTCACTTCTTACGTGTGTACACTAGTACACGCACACATTTTTTTTTTTTTTCAAAACGTTTGCAGGAAAACATAAATTAGAATTTATATACAGACTCACTTAAATATGAACATTATAAATTGAATTAATCGCGGAGTATACAATTTTAATAAAAAAGAAAACCCAATGGCTCCTATTGTGTTTAATTAAACTAATTAACTGATTATTTCATGAGCTCTTAGCATTAGTTTCAATTTTACGTGACGTCAAAAATGCAAAATATTATATCAGTAATACTTAAATAATCAGAACAAACAAAATGTACACAGACGCTTAGAACACGATCTCAAATAAAAGCAAAAGAAAACAAAAAAAAAAAACTAATGCAATGATGTTACGCCATCTTGCAGCTGAGGCGGGAAATAAAACGACCACAGATTAAACAGAACAAAAAAGTATGAATCACTTGCGTCGTAACTATAGTTGTAACCTTGACAATACAAAATGCGGTTGCATTCACAGTTTAATGAACTTTTAAAATAAATATATATTGACTTCGTAGGTATGTTTGGGAACCTTGACCTCTACAGATTCTAAACGGTTAATAAATTAGCCGATTTTACCCTTCGAAATCACATTCATAAATTGTCTTCGTGTGCAAATTATAGCCATTAAATCACATATTATTATAGTCTTTCTTTGCTTCGTTTATTGTCACTATCATGAATAGGTCATTTATTAGGATTAACCTCCGTATCTTTAGTCGTTCACACGAGCTTAACTCGACTCTTGACTCAACCTCCAACGCGCGTTTTGGTATGCTTAAAGACTTAGCAAACTTAAGAGTTTAAATTTATCTGTGCAATCTCTTATCGCAGCTTTCATCAGCTTGATGTAAGGTGAAATAAATAATAGTTTAAAAAAATCTAACAAAATACGCTTTTATAGAAAATCCAACTAAAAAATAGAAAATAAATTTTAGTAAATTGAATGGTATCAGTAGTTATAAATATTTTATGAACAGATATGAGTAGAAGGGTTATTTTGATAATATCCTGAAAAGCACCCTACGCTGTTTTTACAATAAAAACTTTAAATAATAAACAATAAATATTTAAAATAAAATTTTCTTACACTATTTTTAATTCAAATTTATTAAAATTTATTATCTATTTTTTAGTTGGATTTTCTATAAAAGCGTATTTGGTTAGTTTTTTTAAACTATCATTTATTTTTCATTTTTTAGTCGATATTAAATTTTTTCAATGTTTTTTATTTGTCATCAGTCCTTAATAAGTATACCAAATTTTGAGTTAATCCGACGTTTTGAAGGGGGTCAAAATCATGTTCAAATATTCCGTTACAAAGCTAATAAAAGCGTATTAAAAATGACATACGTTTTAAAGACAGTGTGCTTAGTATGAGTTTTTTAACGTTCTCGACAGCGTAAAAGTTAACTCAAATTTGTATGGAGTTTGCTTACGTTTGCCGTTAGGGGCGCTGTTCTAACTCCATACAAATTTGAGTTAACTTTTACGCTATCGCGAACGTTAAAAATATCGAACTAAGCAATGATGATGACAATACAATAATATTATTATTGCAGCCTAATTTCCTGGTCAGGTATTTTATTCGTTATTATAATACTCCTGAACGACACAGGACCTTTCGATAGTAACGTTTGAGCTTTTACAACATCTAGGCTCTTCTGACTGTACACACTTTTTTTTAAGGTCTCAGTTTATTCACAACGGCTACCCCACCCTGTGTATCACAAATCTGTGTGAACGAGCTCACGGCCCACCTCCAGATAGGTCACCGGAGCCCATGGGCATCAACAACGTTAATACCACCACTCAACCTGAGGCGTGAGTTCGAACTTAAATAACGGCTCCCCTGACTAATAACAATACGTGATTAGTATTTTAACGAAGAATTAAAAAAAAATCGCGTGTTTGAGATCTTTTAAACACAATGATTTTTTATTTTTATTTTTTTATTAACTATTTATTAACTAGGCGTCTCCTTAAGACTCTCCACCATTTGCCTACGTAGGATTTTAGAGTTTTTCGGTCATGTTGCGAGAAAAAAGGGTGACAATCTCGAAAGACTTCTCATCACCGGCAAAGTGGAAGGAAAGAGGCCTAGGGGGCGTAGTCCCATGCGCTGGTCCGATCAGATCAAGATGACTTTGGAATCCAGCATCAATGTCGCTATCCACTGCGCGGAGGACAGAAGTGAATGGAAGAACATAGTCCTGACAAAAGTGCTCAGTAAAGGTCATGACCCTCAGAACTGAGGAATACGACGCACGGAGGGAGATGGGTGAATGAGCTCACAGCCTACCTGGTGTTAAGTGGTTACTGGAGCCCATAGACATGTACTACGTAAACGCGCCACCCACCTTGAGATATAAGTTCTAAGGTCTCAAGTATAGTTACAACGGCTGCCCCACCCTTCAAACCGAAACGCATTACTGCTTCACGGCAGAAATAGGTATGGTGGTGGTACCTACCCGCGCGGACTCACAAGTGTTCCCACCAACAGTAATTACACAAATTATATTATGTAAATAACATTACTATTTATTCACCGTCAGTTGTCATTGTTAACAACTTTAAAAATCGAATGATTGAATCTATTATGAAATTTCATCATAAAACTAAAAATGGTTACTATATCTGACGTATCATTAAATTTAATACCAAAGCCCGCAATGATTTTTCATCAAAAGAAAAATAGGGTGGGACTCTAAGTTTTTGATATTTTGTTGTGAAATGTGTAGACCAATTTAAGAAAATAATTAGAGTATTTCTTAAGCATGAATGCTTAAGAAATACTCTAATTATTGTTGTTATATTTTCTTCTAATTATTGTTGTTATATTTTAATTGTTAATAGAAAATGTTATCGCTTTTCAAGAATGATAATATCATCAGTGGCGTAAAAATGAGAGAATAAATTCACAACAAAAATAATTAACCCGCGACATTGTACTGTACCCGGTATTCCTTTCATCCTTCTATTAATTTCTTGCTTCATATAAAAAAACTGTTCCAATTTTTTTGTTATTTTTGTTTTTATTGCTTAAGTGGGTGAACGATCTCACAGCCCACCTGGTGTAAAGTGGTTAGCGGAGCCCATAGACATCTACAACGTTAATGCCGCCACCCACCTTGAGATATGAGTTCTTAAGTCTCAGTTTTTACAGTACAATAGCTGCCCCATCCTTCAAAGCGAAACGCATTACTATTTCACGGCATTAAGTGGCAGGGTGGTGGTTCCTACTCGTGCGGACTCACAAGACGTCCTACCACCAGTAATTACGCAAATTATAATTTTTTGAAGAAAAAAAAAAGTTAATTCCCATTGCAAAAGTGATTCCTATTGGGGTTAGCGCATATCTTAGTTGATTTTCCTCGTAGCTCCGGTTAAAAGTATCGCATTTTTGGGTAAATTAGAAAATAACAAAAACAAATTTTATAAACAAGATTTATTTGGATTTTTCAATAAATAAAACGAGAAAGATAAAGATTTTTATACAGGAAGAAAGGACATCGCCACTCAAATTATACATTAATAAATAAATAGATATTTATATACACATCGAAGGATCAAAAATAACTTGATACATAAATAAAAATATACGAAAGATTATTTACAAAAGATTTTTATATAAATGAAATTGAATAGATAAAAAAAAAATACTTTTTAAATGAATACTAATGTAATGGATTGTCTACATAGATTATATTAATGATAATAACAAAACAGGTACAATGTAGAATTTAAAGTACTATACATAGCGGTGCGGGCGACGCATCGAAACAAACCAAAGAGAAACGCTAAACTTTCACTTAATTAAAATAAATAATTTAAATAAATTAAATAAATTATTTTTTCCGACATGAGGTAAATACGACGCTCCAAAAAACGGTGTCCTGCTCACACAGTTGAAGCTTCACACGTGTGAGCGAGACAGCTGTTAGGTTTTAGTGTAAGTAGGCATTATAGGCCAAGTTCTGGGCATCTGGGGCAGACCTTCCCCAGCCTCCGTGGCCGCCTCCACCGCCACCGCTACTGTGGCTGAAGTGCTCTTCATGGTGGGGATGCGCCACGACCTCATAGCTCTCGTGATGGTCGTTTTTGGAAAGCAGTTTCTTGAGGAGTATTAAACCGGAAGCCAAGAGCGCTGCTTTAGCTAACATAAGACCCTTGACGGCGGCAAAGGCAATGATTCCGAGGAAGACGGGGATGAGGGACTGGATCTTCAGTTGCAGGAGTGCCAGTATGGGCAGGAGTTGCTTCAACTTCTTCTTCTTACCGCGACCTGGAAGGAAAGATATTTTAAAATAATGCCATTATGATGATGATTTTAAACTGCTTGGAATATGATATCCTATTGTAACTATTTGAGGGTCTTCGTAAATATTTGACATTTGAATCAGCTCGCATGTATTTTGTAACAGCGTTGATAAATAAAAACCCACAGACGTCTGTGCTGACTTCAGTTCTTGTTCTTGCTAAGTTCTCTCTAGTCTTAAGATATCATTATTCATAACATTAGATATCCTACTCATGGTAGGACCTCTTGTGAGTCCGCGCGGGTAAGTACCACCACCCTGCCTATTTTTGTCGTGAAGCAGTAATGCGTTTCGGTTTGAAGGGCGGGGCAGCCGTTGTAACTATACTTGAGACCTTAGAACTTATATCTCAAGGTGGGTGGCGCATTTACAGCGTAGATGTCTATGGGCTCCAGTAACCACTTAACACCAGGTGGGCTGTGAGCTCGTCCACCCATCTAAGCAATAAAAAAAAACTAAAAAATATCATCTACCCTCTGAAATACGCAATACGTAGACGCATGCAGTGACAGCGTAATTAGAAAAGCATGATAAGTATTGTATCATAGTATGTAAGAGTATATGAACATCCGTTCACTCCCCCTCAGACTCTGCTAAAATCGAAAAACGGGACCTTAATTGACTAAAAATAAAATCCTTATTATAATAACACTCTTCCAGTCGGAATGCTATTCAATCATTCAATCATTTGCCGTTAAAGTTCAAACAGGGTTTTGGAAAAGACAATAGGCTTTTACCATTGTCATTAACAGTCACGCCGTGTATCGACCACACAATTAAAATGCGCTTGAGCTTACTTAAAATTGAATTGTGATTCTAAACGTTTATAGAAAGTGCAGGTATTTCGAAAGCTCGTCGCGTAGCATTTTCCTAGAACCACTTTTACTGTGGAACATGCTGTGAGGCCTTGCAAAAACTGGTCGCTTCACTTAAACGTTATTGGGCTGGAGAAAACGGCCGAGCCTGCCACGGGACCTGGCGTGCCGTGCAACTGAATACCTAAGTGCTCTCCGTCCTATAATAATACCACACCGAAATTGCACCGAATTACCCATTTATAACACAATACTGCGCGTATTCCTCGCTACGACCACCCGATTATATTAAACTATTAAGCCTATTAACCTAACCAACTATTAACCTAACTATTAAGTAGCTCTAATCTGGTGACTTTTCTAACACTAGCCCTAGCAAGAGCAGTGCTTCGCAGAATCTACCACCGTTCGGAAACACGACCCACTGAGGAGGTCCGGCGAGAAGCTCAGTGGGCTGTGTTTGTGGGTTAATTTACTTGACGAGCCCTTTGTCGCAAGCGACGGGTTCGACGAGAACGATGACCGGTGCTTGGGGTACCTAAAATCAACGTTAGTGGATCGGGAGGATCTAAAATGTCGCGATCGTGCAATACAATATTGAAAGTTTATAATCCGTTAAATAATGACATAAGCCCGAAATTTCAATTGCATGACGGCTGTCTCATTCTTATAATCAGAACGCGTGGGAGTGTGGCATCTGCGCGGATCAGCAATACCCGTACCGGTCACATATCTTACCGCACTTGGAGCAGCGGAGAGAAAACGTTGTCTCTAAGTTTAGGCATCAGTTGATTCATATACAGGGTGTATTAGAGGTGTTCCCAAAAGAAAGAATAAAAGATTTTTCACAATCAGAAGAAATATTTTTTGCACAGCTCTTGATGTGAAACAAACTCGGTAGGGACGTGGTTAATGATCTAAAAGGAACATTGGCTCGTTCACTAACTGATATCGTTTTCCACTACCAGTCATGAAATCCAAACTCGTTAAAATGACAGGTGCTTGGATTCGCCTCTAGAAGACAGAAGTTATTCCAGGCAGGCAGGTAAGAATGTGCCGCATTTAGAGCAGAACTTTTCTCTTTCCGTGCGCCTCATCCAATAATCTATACTAATATTACAACGAGGAAAGATGTGTTTGTTTGTACTGAATAGGCTCCGAAACTACTGAGCCGATTTGAAAAATTCTTTCACTGTTTGGAAGCTACACTATTCTCGAGTGACATAGGCTATAATCTTTTTTGAAAAAATTAGGGATCCTTACTAAAACTCCAATAATGTAACCCAAGGTGTAAAAAAATTACCTAACATATTCTTTACATCGCATGCTTTGTGAAAACGATTGACGATAGAATAAAATAATGTACTACGACTTTGTAGAACACATTATTATTTACAAAAAGCGTCGCGACAGTATATGTCTAACTATTATAATTATGCCGTAATAAGTGTTCTTTTATTTAAAAAAATAAAACAACGTCAAATATCGTTGAAATTTTTGTTAAAGACCCGAGCGGAGCCGGAGCGGGCCGCTAGTAATTAATATTTTAATTGAATTGACAGCGTTCAATTAAAACACAATATTTTGACTATTTTTTAAAACGCTTAAACCTGAGAATTCGTGATTATTGAGTATAGACAACAGTAACAGATTATCGTAATGCTTTTCGTATATATGTATTCGGTGGCCATAATTTTGACCCGCAATGTAATTAATTGTTCTTGTAATTAGTTACAACATCGAGAGCATGTATCAATTTCTCTCATTATTTTTATGTAAGCAGTTACGTAACCGAAAAACGCCGCGTCTTTAAATACATATGTCGGAATAAAACTTTCTATTTTTTTTATATATATAAAACATTAAAACCGGCTTTTGGGAATGAGATTCGAAAACATTTTAAATGACGAAGCAGTTTTATGTGAAGCTCATTTTTACTTTTATCATTGAAAGAGAAGGGAATTTCCCACAGTATATTTAATAATACTAGTGGTCCCCCGGTAATCGAATTTCGACTATAATTAATTGAAATTATAAGCTTGGACATTATTATGGTACTACTGTCAAAGACTTCTTCTATAATATACTATACTTCTATATTTTTTATTTTTTTTTATTGCTTAGATGGGTGGACGAGCTCACAGCCCACCTGGTGTTAAGTGGTTACTGGAGCCCATAGACATCTAAAACGTAAATGCGCCACACACCTTGAGATATAAGTTCTAATGTCTCAAGTTTAGTTAAAACGGCTGCCCCACCCTTCAAACGGAAACGCATTACTGCTTCACGGCAGAAATGGGCAGGGTGGTAGTACCTACCCGTGCGGACTCACAAGAGGTCCTACCACCGGTATAATCACAGATTTCGCCAAGACTACACTGTAGACCAATAATATTAAAGACAAACAATATTAACCTATTTTCAATTTGACCACAAAATATAAGAAATAAGAAAGGTTTGACAATAATCAAATAGTATGCATGCGTGTGTGTGTGTCATATACATGGTAGTGTGTGTAATACTTTTTTTTAATGATTTAATGTAATATTAATGCATAATTAGAAAAAAAAAATTAACATTCACTCCTTGATGCACTCCTTCTCTATATTCTCTATAAGTGTGAGTGTATTGCATGATAAAAAATGAAAAAAAAAAAAAAAAAACAATTTGTATATTGCTTACACGTGTTCAAATAATTTGCCTTTGTTCTTTTCCACACGCTCTCTTTATAACTGCTGCTTTTGAATAATGATAAATAAATATGTACACAAACAAATTGATTCATGGCATCTTCTATTTAATTTTTCTATGTGCACATGTGTTGTAAGAACATTTAATTCTGTTGTAGGTATGTTTTTGTAAAACATTCACCAATTGAACAAACATTGGTATAGTATTAAAAGTTCTAAGAGTGAGTCGGTAACAATAAGAGGTTGCACATTTACTGTTTTTTAATGATTTGACTTCAGAACAATTGGAGGCGGGAGTTTAGGTCATTTGTCTGACAAAGGGCGTGGCGTGTAGGTATACTAATCAAAGCAGCACTTAGCCAAGCTGAACTTTGGAAATACGGTGAACAATGTTGGCATCGGGAGAAAATACTCAATAGAGACGAAAAGATATAACAAAACAGTTTTCTTTTTTTTCTTACCTAAGCTGGTAGCCGTTAGAGACTATACTAGCGTACTATGCTAACACTGGCCCTAGCAAGAGCAGTGCTCTTAGTGCAGAATCTACCACGGGATCGGAAACGCGACCCACTGAGAAGATCCGGCGAGAAACTCAGTGGACTGTGTCTGTTGGAGTTTTCTAAGAAAAGCGAGCTGGACCTATAATTAGCTATTTCCATATTATTGTATTTTTTGGTCCTTTCAATCAACTGCTATGTCCGGATATCTATATAAGCAAACATATATAAGTATGTATGTATATCAGTCCCCGGTAATTTTTAATCACTTATTTCATCTTACCGGTCATTTTTTTGTGTTTATCCTAAATCAGGTCTTGAGAATCCATAAGATTAACTCAAGTTTACGTGACTTAATAGGTCCCCTGATGTATTCATGTAATTCGACAATTCGCAGTTCGACTTATGCTATGTAATAGAAGAAATGCATCTAATAATATGTATTGAACATGAAGAAGTATATGCACACATATATTGGCGTAATTGAAAATGGTGGGGTTCCAGTGGAGGTGGTGATTGGGGTGGAGACTTATAAGTCTTTATATATATATATATATCTCATGTCTCGAGATGGTGTCACGCTACAGCTAAGATCAATGAAACCATGTGAGGAAACCATGGATGCATCCAGGGTGACTCCTAAGTGCTTGACCTTCCTGGCCCAGGATTGGCCGAAGAGGGTAATCGGGGGTGTGATATTTCTCGTCCTAATGCGGGAGAAAATCCGTGTAGTTTCCCCTTTGAAATAGCATCACTGTGCTTTTCACTGGGTGGATATCTAAAGACTTCATTGTTATGGTACGAAAATACTAATGTAAATGGAACATCGAATTCTTATACAAATATAGTTATGTTCGCATGCAAATCAAATTAATTACTGCAACGAATCAATAGATCTCAGAGCACAATCGTACAGCTCTTGATTGAATCAATAACCAAATGATTAATGTTTTATCAATTTAGTTTTACTGGCGGCTAAATCGTATAACTTGGCGTTGTGTTAAATCTTGTACTCAGATAGTAGATTTATATATTTTATTTTTAATACGGATACGAGTCTAAACGTTATCTCAAATCTCATTTAGGTTTGCTAGAAAGGAAGTCTCACCGGATCCTCTCAATGCAGAAGCATTGCTCTTATTAGGGCTAGTGTTAGCAAGTCCTCCAAGATAGAGCCCCGTGAGATCACCTACCGAATCGTTCGTAGCTAAAATAGCCCCTTAGACTACTAGCAATTATGTAGGTAAAAAGAAAATAAGTCAAAATCTAATTTATTTCGTCTTCTGATTGAGTTCGTCTCTCGATCCAAGACAATTTTAGCCCTAGTATATGAAACGCTTTCTTGTGGTTCCGTCCTGTAGATTATTTTTCTATAAGAATTATAGTAATCAAAGTGAGTGAGATGATGATTGATACATCTAATGTTAATGGGATATCGGTTCATACACATGATCATATGAATGCCACCGTCGAAGATTCCAATTGTAATCTAGAATGTTCCAGAACGCAAAACCGGTTTGCGGTAGAAATAGGTGAGATGGCGGTGAATGTATCTGTTTTTGTCGATATCTTAAAACGTTGCCTATTTAAGTTTGGTATAATCTTCGTCAACTATTTAAGGATCTTTACTGACACACCAACCGAAATTTGCCAGTCACAACCAGGGTAACTCTTTAATTCATAACGAAGTGTTCATCTGAGTTTTCCTTACGATATATCTCGTTGTCGTGAAAGTTTAACTTTATTTAATATCCAATTTCAATGGCGGATTATGTGTGCCGAGTGGACGTGTATGGACGTGTATAGACGCAATGCGTGGTGGCGTTTACACGAAATTATACGAACTGAATGGGATACTACGTACCTACTTTCACTCTTTAATTACGATAAGTGCTCGTCGCAATCATTTTAAATAACGAGACGTTAATTTCGGGTCTCGTCCAACGTAGGTTCCCAAGGTATAAAGGTGCTTGTACGGGAAAGTTGGCCATGTTTTTTTTTTTTGTATCTACATTTAGACGCGCATACGATCTGACTAGTATTAGATGTAGCAAGTTTATGTACAGATTAGATAAAGTTGAAATTCCATTCGTTAAAACCTGCGACTTCTGGAAAGTACACATCGATTGGTCACATGTGAATTGTTGAAGTATTCTAGTTTTAAAAACAAAGTATGTAAATTGATGCATTGAGTTAAGACGCCCGGAGTATACTTGTGTAGGGTGATGTTACTACACCAAATTCTTTGAAACCGATTGAACAATTTCTCTTGTTATTTTTTTTATGAAGGAAGGGTTGCTGGTGACCTCTATGCCTTTCCAGTTTCCCCAGAACAAGGGGTGGGTGAGCACGGGCTCAGGCTGGAATTCCTCATATCTCCCTTGAATCCCGATATTTATTTATCATCAGATTGGCTTGAAGTATTCCGTCAATGTGCAACAATAAAATTATCGACTACTAAAAATTTTATATTTGATATTTAGCATTTTTTTAAACCAGCTTATTTTTGGTGATACATTTTCCGTAACTTGAGATTCCAAGTTCTGTCCGTTAAGCTATATTGTAGCGATCAGAAGCAAAATCTATTAATGATTAAACAACAGCTTTTAGTTTTCGACTTGAACTTTGAACAAGCTTGATGGGGCTCTCCGCTTGCCGTTGGGAGGTAATCGGAGTCGACTAGACCACAACGCGAATGCTGCTCTACTATTGTCTTGGCTACACTATCCTTGAAAATCGAATACACAACTGCTTCCCGGTAAAATGGTGATACCTACACGATTTGACTCAAAATAAACTTCAAATTTGGTGATTGCGAGTTTTTTTTGTTGCATTATTTAAAACTATGTTATGGTTGAAACTATATAAGCGTAATAAATGGGAAAGAGTGAAATGTATAAAAGCTACTAACTGGTAGTAGGACCTGTTGTGAGTCCGCTCGGGTAGGTACCACCGCCCTGCCTATTTCTGCCGTGAAGCAGTAATGCGTTTCGGTTTGAAGGGTGGGGCAGCCGTTGTGTAACTATACTGAGACCTTACAACTTATATCTTAAGGTGGGTGGCGCATTTACGTTGTAGATGTCTATGGGCTCCAGTAACCACTTAACATCAGATGGGCTGTGAGCTCGTCCACCCATCTAAGCAATAAAAAAGAAAAAAAAGCTCACGTAACCCAAGAATTATTCGCATTATCACGTTTTCAAACCTGTATATTATTTGTTAATTGCAATTAAGATTTTGTTATTGCTTTTCACTAGACGTATGTATTTTGACTTAGGTTTTTTCGTTTTATTTTTACTGCAATTTTTGCCCAAATAGCTGCTTGGACACAATTTAATTAAATTATTACTCTTTAGTTCATTTATTCGTTTTGTTGATATAGATTAAAGGGCATATTTTTATGGTAAGCTTGGATACTTTTTATGTGTTTCTTGGAATATGTTAATTCTGTTAGAAATTCTGTATCAGAAAAGTAACTGAATTAAAAAATTATAACACATTGTTCTGGAAGATGTATTATTTTTTACTTAAACAAAGACAATATTATAAAGCGTACTGCAATGGAGCTGAGGTAAGACTAACATCAGCCAGTCGACCAACAAAGACTGAACGAATAGGCCTCCGAATAATAAGAAGATGCTATAATGCTTCGAATATAGATAGTTACAACACTGTCACGAAGCGCATGCGAGAGCATGGAAATGACGGGCAGATACACTCCCAGCGTCGCAAATACTGAACTGACCCATAAAGACTTGAGCGAAATAATTTTAAAACTAACTCAACTCTCGAAAAAATATCTAAAATGTCATCTTACCTTCTTCCAAGGATCGCTTCGCAGATTCAATGGCACCCTTCGGCAGACGTATCTGAATGACAAAGTTCTCCAAGAAATCGGCAACTCCGTCCAAAAGTCTGAGGTCTACTTGATTCTCCCTGGCTCTGGGCTCGTCGGGTAAAGGCTCGAAGGACCTGGCTGATCTAGGGGAGCCTTGACCGATCAGACTGACGCCATCGATTAAGTTGAGTTCTCGAGAATTCGAGACATTTTCCACGTATCGCAAAGCTTTTTCCTGTGAACAAAAATTGACTTGATAAAGCTTCTTTCGTATCCGCTGGCTTTCGTATTGAAAACTCAAGGAGTTGAAACTACTAAGGACAGTAGAATTTAAGATTGAAACTCACTCCTAGCACACCTAACACAGGGTTCGACTGGGTACTTCGTTGGAAATATCCGGTTTGGTATTTCCTCAAATTTCATCCAGGAAACTCAATATGTTACAAACACGAAATACTACAGTCCAATCTTATATTCGGTCATATTACAATTTATTCGATTTAATATTTATTTAATTAAAAAAAAGCATCCCTAATATAACATACATAATGAACTTACATAATATACACAATCAAAATAAAGATATAGAGTTCGAAAACTTAATCTCAAAGTTAATTTCGAAGTTCAAGCTATCGTAACTTTTTAATCAATTATAATTTATACAGTTACATAACTTATGCTATGAATATGATAATTTAAGTTAGCTTACAGCTTTTATGGTTGATATTATGTAATTCAAAATTATATGTTAAATTTGAATTAACTAAATGGAAATATTGAAAAAAAATGTCAAAATGTTTTTTTTTTCTTTTTTGTTTTTTTATTGCCCTTGTAGGCAGACGAGCACACGGTCCACCTGATGGTGAGTGGTTACCGTCGCCCGTGGACATCAGCAATGCCAGAGGCAGAGCCAAGCCGCTGCCTACCAAATTTTAATTGTTTGCGATTTGAATGTGATAATTGAAAATTAATGTGAAATAAAATCAAACCTTGAGACACAATGCGACGTTGTCATCGGAGCAAGTTTTCAGCACTCCCATCACTGATCGGAAGACGTCTTCGTCACTATTCGCTGCGGCCACAGCGCATACTGCTAACACCACCAGGAGCTTCATGGTTCTGACTACAATTTCGTTTTCCTTGGAACCGTCCTGGCTCCGTGGTGAAAACTGAATGTAATTGTGAGTGTAACACGTTGCTGTTATATGAATCGCCCCCCACTAGGTCAGCTCGAGTGTGTCTTGAATGTGGTTGAGTGCGTAGTCCTTATAAAAGCGTAAAGGCGGCAAATAATAAAATTTAATGATTATTTTTTTTAAGTGAAATTATCCTCCATAAGAAATTTTGAAATGAATTTCATATACAAGTAAATGTAGAAAAAAGGATAATGTATATGAACTGCTAAGCGCAGCACAAATAGAGTTTTAAATTGATTTATATCAAACATAATTATTTAGATAAGAACGGTTGTTTGGAAGATATTGTTTTCAGCGAAAAATCTGCCAATTGTAATTGTCTGTCCGTTGGGTCCTTTTTAAATGTAAATTGTGTTTTGGTGTGCAATAAAGAATACTCTCTATCTCTCTCTCTCTCTCTTTTATTTAGATCTAATATCTACTGAGGATCTGAGTTTAAAAATAACATGGGATGCGTTTACAGTCGAGGTTATCTATGTCGCATACTTGTTTATTCTGAAAAATATTCAAATGGGCTGTTTTCCAATATTATTAAGTAAACTTCTAAACAAATCGTACATTACATATTTTAAATTGCATATTTGTAATTGTAATTGCTCTTGGTCGCGACTTGGTCCATTTAAGGTTGCCTTTAACATACCATCACCCATTTATCAATTTTGTTTTATTCCTGATCGTGCAACTTCATCAGCTCACAGCTCATACTGCATAGCTGCAACAGACCTGCTATATTTTTATATTTTCTAGAATTTCTGTAAATTAAAGGGTTGTCTGGAAGAGACCGCCTATTGTACAAATATATCTGCTGTTTTTTGATTATTTTTTTAATGTAAATTGTGTTTTGGTGTGCAATAAAGTGTATTCTCTCTTTCTCCCTCTCTTTCTCTCTCTCTCTCTCTCTCTCTCTCACACACACACACACACACACACACACACACATACACACACACACCTGGTGTACACAGTGGAGTTTGTAGACATCAAATATAATTAATCAAGAAACAATAAAATCAATTTTGCACTGTTGTGATTTAAAATTTACTGAAACGTTTGAAGGTTGCATGCATTGCATGCAGGTAGGACACAACGAGAGAACGAGATAGAATTCTTTTGAATATTCCTCTTTTACCGCGTGTGAACTGCACACATATTTTTTTTCAAGCAGTCCTTTACATGTAAATAAGCCTACCTAATAAAATCATATTCTCGCGTACTTCTGTCACATCGCTCGTAGAGGCCCCGATAACTTAGAGAAGCTGATGGTAGTTGGTCAGGTTGACGGGAGAAGATCACGCGGATGCTCACCTACCCGCTGGTCTGATCCGGTAAAGACACTTACCGGCCTGCCAATAACCGAAGCTATAAAGACCGTGGAGGACAAGGAGACGTGGAGAAGCATTGTGCATCGAGTGCTCAACATTTCAAATTAGACACGACCTTCAGCAATGAAGAGACCGACTCAGAAGAAGAATAGAATCATTAAAAAACTCGAGCCTCCGTCTTTTCTAAATATTCCTTATATTCTGGCTTAAGAACAAATTTTACAAGAAATTCTAAATTTAATACGTTACGAATCCCTTTGACACATCATGTCCAAATCATAATTGCGTTAAATAACTGGTAATATTTCATCATTAAAAAAAAACTTAATAGCACAAATAATATCACTTTACATTTTATTAAATGTCCATTCTAAAACGTTCTGAGTGCTACGTACTTGAGCGCTTACTACACACAAGTACACCAAAATCAGCATCATAGAATCTCAATGATGGAGTTTTAAAATTGACGGTTTTGAGTTTCGTAGATGTCCTACGGCATGTTTCGAGATTAGTTCCGGCTCGTAGGGCTGGCATTGGATGCCTGACGTATGTTTTTCTTTTATAGCTTTATTGGTTGGACAAGCTCACGGCTGTTAAATGGTAAGCGGAGCCCATAGACATCTACAACGCAAATGCCGCCACCCACCTTGAGATTTCGGTTCTAAGGTCTCAGTATAGTAACAATGGCTGCTCCACACTTTAAACCATTACTGCTTCACGCCAGAAACAGATGGGGTCGTGGTACCTACCTGTGCAGACTAACAAGATGTCCTACCACCAAATGTATCCTATGTACGTTTCATTATGTCCCGCTGGTTCTTGGGATTGCAATATAAAGTTCCGGAATGATGTTAGGGATGATATGGCTAAAGTTATGTCGTGTTTCCCACAGACACAGCCCACTAAGTTTCTCGCCGGATCGTCTCAGTGGGTCGCGATTCCCATCCAGTGGTAGATTCAGCGAAGCACTGCTCTTACTAGGGCTAGTGTTAGCAATAGCTGGAATACACGTTAAACAATATATTTATAATTTGCGATGCGGTCATCCGTTCGACTTGTATGATGATTTGAAACATCAATAGTGCGCGGGCTTAAATCTCCCCTACTCAATACGATCATAGCTTCGACCTCATGGAATAAGGCTGTTGAGATATTCTCGTTTTGATTCTACGATAACACGCCTCTTAAAGCTGTCATCATAAACTTTATTAAAACCGGCTGACCGGTTTTAGGCTTCCAGATGCCTGGCCCGACTATCTTGTAAATTTTCACACATATCAAGGACCGATGATAATTCAGAAACTTTACTATTTCGCCCTTATATTACCAGAGTAGCCAAGGTAAAAATGAAGCGTTTAAATAGGGCTTTTTGAGCTTTTAAACTAAATTAATTAATTTATTAATCGTCAACTCTATCATATCTCTTTCTTTTTCGGTAGCGGCTTCAAGTTCACGGTTATTATAAGAACAATTGGCAAGAGGGAAAATAACTTCTGCTTAAAACCGTTATGGTACAAACTATGGTCGTTTACAGCTGTTTTTGTGGCTGTGACGTCATTTGACGGCTTAGCTGTAGCTTAGAATGAAACGTCACATCTATCCGTAGGTGTCATAAAGTCACTCAGCATTGCTATTTCAATTTTGCACATACTTGTATCGCATTGACTGGTAGTAACGCGTTTTACGAGTCTTCACGGATAGGTACCAATCCGTCTATTTGTGCTATAAAACAGCGTATGAAAAGTACTGGTGGTAGGACCTCTTGTGAGTCCGCACGGGTAGGTGCCACCGAACCGCCTATTTCTGCCGTGAAGCAAGTTTCGGTTTGAAGGATGGGGCAGCCGTTGTAACTGAGCCTTAGAACTTATATCTCAAGGTGTGTGGCGCATTTACGCTGTATTTGTCCATGAGGTCCAGTAACCACTTAACACCAAGTGGGCTGTGAGCTCTTCGACACATATGAGCAATAAAAAAAAAAGTACTAGAGATGTCAGACATAAAAATTATTAACTGTGTTTTATTTTTGATCGACAACAATGGACCGAATCCCAAAGGAGCGCGAGCGTATTACGCAAATAAAAAATCAGAATTATGAATGCGCAACCATCGAATTATACATTCAAAAATCATATCCGTTTCTTGCGCAATTTAGAAATTCATAATATAAATATTAATACCGAATCTTATATCGGGTTGCAACGAAAGTATTTTGAGTAACGCTCGCAATGTGTGAGCACGCCGTGAGGACTCCTGAGTCGTGTCATTCACCTTGCCTTTCTTCAGCGTGGCACAAGACGGTAAAAAGAGCATGGAGCAAACTAACATCGGATATAATGCATTCGATAACTTAAAACAATCGGTATATGGTTATTCTCGAACCTGCAGTCCCATGTTTAAGAATATCTTGTTTAATACCAGCATCGGAGCTAATGGTTAAATGATTCTAAAGGTAATGTTCCGCCCTTATTCAGAGCTCATGCTTTTGACTTAACTGATCGCCCAGAGGGACAGCCAAATACTTTTCTGACAACCGTCCAAATTCAAATAACCACGAATTTTATATTGTGTTGAAAGGTATAATGACAATGCCATATACAGGACAATCTCGAAAACGTTCATCATAAAAAAAGTTATTAACTAAAGTCAGTACAACACAATCTCATTGCGTTCGGTGACTTGATGTTCAGACGTACATAATATATATTGATATCCACCGAGATAAATACGATTGATACGATCCAAATACTCCACATCGCTATCTTCATCCACAGTTTTTTTCCCTACCTATGCTGATAGCCTTGAGAGGCTATTTCAGCTTCGTCCTAAAGTTTAAGTGAGCTTACGGGACTCAAACCAGGAGTGTTGCTAACACTGGCTTGTGGGCTGTGTCTATGGGTTAATTTACTCGTCATGCTCTTCGTCGCAAGCGTCAGGTTCGGCGAGGACGGTAACCGGTGCTTGAGGAACCTAAAAGCACCGTTTATGGATCGCGAGGATCCTTAATGACGTGATTAGGGTAAGATCGACTGTTTATGATTCGGTCCACATGATCGGGTATGTAATTTCCGGCGACCACGACAAGAGGGTTTTCGTGTCGTGCCGCCTTTTCAAAGTCGCGCAATGATGCCGACTGTATATACTTACTGACTGAGTCAAGCTCTAGGTTATCATGGAGATAACACCCACACCATGCATTGATTGCTATATATAGCCATTAGAGGCTAAAGCTCAAAATCTTGGTTAGAAAAAACCATTTCCATTCGTCAGGGTAGGAAGACGCCTTCGAATTATTACGCATCCGGTTACCGATCTCATAATGTACCGGATACATTGGATTGCACGTGAGAAATGTCTATAAATATTGTGTGTTTTGAACTATTGAGTTTAATAATTGCGTTGTAAATTAACTTTTCTTTTGGATGTGGTAAGTTTATTAGACGGTGACGAGTGTTGGAGAAGATGTAATTGTAATGAATATTTGTATGTAGGTGGGTGTTTAGTGGTTATCTGAGCACAGAGATATGGCTGCTGTACCAATCTCCGGTAAATCGCAGACTCACCTTTCACGACACCCATAAAAAGGAATAAGTGGCGATATTCTATATCAATAGTCATAGTGTCTGTATAGACAGACAAAATTCGAGACCTAGAACTAATATCTCAAGG